CCTTGCTTTTTATAATTCGCTCTCTTCTGTCAACCTCAAAATCTTCCATTTTTTGGTTTCCTTTCTCAAGGCTTTTGAGTAGATGGCTATTCTTCCCTTTCAGATCTTCAACTCGTCTTTTCTCGATGTTCAATTCTCTGGTCATCTGTATTGTTGCCTGGCTTGATCCTGATGCTTTCCGGGATTTATATAACTCCTGGTAATTTTTCTGTAATGCTCTGAATTCATCATCAACTTTTTCTTTATCTTTTCTCAACATTGCACATTGTGATGAATGAAAGTCAATGTCAACACTCAACATAGCTTTATCTTGTCTCATTTGCTCTAATTCTTTCGACCAGCCTTCTCTTTCTGCTTCAAACTCAGCTCTCAGGATTTCAATCTCTGATGGAACTACCTTAATGCGATCTTCCATAGAGATGTCCTCATTTTGATCTGGTAGAGGAATATTTTCATTTTTCCTGGCAGATCTCCATTCTTCATAATCAGGAGTTAGCATTTCTTTTGCTGCTTTAGCTCGTATACAAAAAGTTGTTTTCCAAGCTATAACGGCTTCCATGATATTTCTTTTATAATTTTTGCTGTGGAATGCGAACTCAGATGACTGTAATCCAGCAGTGACAGGTACAAATTGACGACCTTCATACTGTCTTATGACCAGAAGTGGTGCATATCCAATTCCTCCCCATAATCCGAGCAGCATTATCCAGTTGTAATCTCCACATTTGTAAAAGAATTCCCTTTGGATTTGCCACGGGGCTCGCCAAACAATGTCATTGCTTTGCAGATTTCGAAAAGCATTAATCCACATATCTTTCTTAATTTCTTTCGGCCATTCCTGCTCCAGAAATTCTTTTAATGATGAGTAATCCGCATTAAAGCGTCGGTATGAAACTTTTTCTGTCCTCCAGAAATGACTACGGATCCAAACATATAACAACTGGGTACACCCTGAGAATCGTCCACCTCCTAGCTTTCTACAAGCATTAACGATCTGAAGGTCTCTGCTAGGATTGCAGAAGCAGGATTAATCTTTTTCGGTAGCTGTTTAAACAAATCTACCACTGCAGCTTCAACATATCCCAATACTTTTGGGAAGATGACCATACCATACATACCCAGAGCAAATAAATCAAATCGTACTTTAATATCTGGATGACTCTGAATAAGTTCTTTAATGTTGGTCCAAGCAATGCCTTCGCTTTCGTCTTTTTGTTTTGTACGGGATGCCACCCATTCTTCTCGTACCCCGGCAATCTTTGCTAATTTAACTCGAAAGGGTTGAGTTTTAATTGACTTTGAATAGATTCGATTCTCCAAAGCCCCCATCTATATGTAGCAAAGTTGTACTCTTCAATAGTAGGGACCAAATCCTCTTTATTGAGAGTGAAGCAATTGTACCCTGGATTCCAGAATTGAACTAGGGCTCTGAGTAATTCATCATCAACTTCGACATAGAGCAAATATGGGATGTCTCCGTAAGTCTGATAAAACTGCAATTTTTTGTTTGAATCCCAACTTTCCCAAATACTTCGCAAATCCTGCATATCATTTCTTTTTAGCGAAACTGGAGTATAACTGGCCAAGTCAGATACATAATCATCCTACAGACTGTCTCCTTCTTGTCTTTGTAAGTCCTCAGCCCACTGTCTTACTTCTGAGTTTAGAATTACTTGATTTGAACACTTTTTATCCATGGATGAAGGCTTTCCAATGAGACAATTAACACAAGGATCAATGCCTTTTATCCTGTATGATGCTATGCAAACAGAAAAATAAAGAACACACAAAAAGAAATGAATTAGTTTACATAATAAAGAAATTTAATAATAATATCTACCTATATATTTTTATTTAAACATGCTTTTTCATAATTTAAATAATTTAAATATACATGTAATTTAATCAGTAACAAAAATAAATGAATTAACAGGAAAGTTAGAATTCATTTCTCCTGTGTGTACACCTATTTTGGACAAAATTTCGGCATGACTTCAGATCGGAAGAGTTTCTAGGGTTTATTATATGCAGGGTTTCAGATCTAGGAATAAAGGTACCCGAATTGTCTTTGTTAGTGCCCCCTTGGGTTGCTAACCCTCAATCCTAGTCCATCACAGACTAAAATGGATCGAGTTCAATTCGAGGGGATACATTTCTCTATGCCTGACACGGAGAATAAATTCTCACGAAGACATAGAGCATATGAACCCCGAAAGTTACTTGCTAGGTCTGACACGGAGAATAAATTCTCACGAAGACGTCGCTTTCACTCCCACTTAAAAAGGACAACTCAATTATAGAGCTTTATGTTATGCAATGCAAGTGTTGTGTGTGAGGAGAAATGTTCAAACCTCTGACAGAAAAATAAATAATGAAATAAAATACTTGCAAATAAAATGAAACATATAAATATTATGAAAATAATAAGTAAATATAAAAATTTTGAAAAGAAAGAATTAAAAATTAAATATATGAACTTTTAATTTTTAATTAATAGAGACAATTTATAATTGATTTTAAAGTTTGACCGGTCCCCAGCGGAGTCGCCAAGCTGTCGTAACCGGCTTTCGTCCGGGTACGAAATATTTATTTGGCGGGAAAATTGATGTGAATAAATGATTCTGAAAATAATTTGGGAGTCGCCATCGGCCTTTTGGGTCAGGTAGGTCGAATACCTAAAAATTATTTTTTAAAAGAGTTTTAAGAAAACATCAATTAAAAAATGAACTGATATGCATTTATAACCAAAAATTCGTTCTTTTTAATAATAAAAAGGGATTTGTGGTCGGTTACATTTAGGGAAGGATTAGCACCCCTACAACGCCCAAAATTGGTACTTTTTAATTATAAATTGTCTCTATTTAAAAATTTTAAAAATTCAAAATATTTAATTTATAATCCTATTATTTCAAAATTATATAAAAATATTTAAAAATATCGGAAAAGGACTTCTAGGTGCCTTAAGACAGCTCTTTTCTTTGATATTTAAATTAAATAATATTTTTTTATATTTTTTTTAATTTTAAAATACCAGAATAGGACATCCAGTTGTATTAAGACTGTCCTTTTCTTCGATATTGAAAAATAAATATTAAAATAATTTATTATTAAAAAAATAAATTATATTTATTATATATATTTATGAATACATAATATAAAAAATATTTAAATATATAAACAAGTAAAATTAAAACAATAAAATACAACTAAAATATATTTAAAAGCAGTAAAATAAATGAAAACATTTAAAATAAATGACTAAATTATAGTAAAAGTAAAATTAAAAACCTAATTCATAATTAATCAAAATTATAGGGATTAAACATGCTATTTCTTTATTTTATTTATTTAGTGACTAAAATAAAATTATCTAAAATTCGGATATTAGAATAAAATAAATTAAAAATATAAAATAGGGATTAAAATATTATTTATTAAAATTAAGGGATTAAATCTGTTATTTATCCTAATATATTATTTTAATATAAAGGACTAAATAAATAAAATTAAAATTAAAGATCTGAATTAAAAGGATTATAAATTCAATTTAGTGACTAAAATGTAAAGTTTACAAATTAGGCTGACTGCGGACGGGGTTTACCCTTTATGAAATTACAGAAATACCCTCCCCAAAATGGCGTCGTTTGGGAGAGGGTATTAATATTCGAAATCGGCTGGCCCTACGGGCCAACCTCTCATTTCTTCCTTTCTCTTCTCTCTCAAACAGAGAGAGAGCAGAGTTCTCTGGCTGCTCTCTAAACTGAGAGAAAGCCGTCCCGGTCAGCCACCGCTGCCGGGCTCCAACCACCGCTGCCGGCCACCGTTAATGGTGGCCGGAAATTACAAAAATCACCAAAATATAGATCGGGACGATCTAAAACCGTTTCCAGTGTTATTTTTCCTTAAAAAAGCTCCCAATCGGAGCAAATCTACAAAAGTACCTTCGGTTTTCGTTGTATCCGGCGACGATTGGGGTTCTCCGATGACAGAGTAAGTTTCTTTCCTCTCTTCTCTCCTTTTTTTTGTTGCTGCGTTGTTGTTGACTGCTGGTTGTGGGTTATTTGTTCTTTGTTTTTGTTTCTTTGTTCTCTGTTTCTGGTTCTCTCTCCGTCTCTGTCCTTTTTTTTTTGTTCGCAGATGGGGTGATGGCTTTATAGCCATCACCGGTGTGGCCATCGGACCGGTCTGAAGGGTGAAAAGTTCGGTGAGTCACCAAAGCTATGCTGATGACTCACCATAGAGGCGACGTGGACGGTCGGGGTTGTGGCAGCAGAGCTTCTGGAGGCTTCTTTGGGGTGGCTTCGTGGCATTGGTGGAGTGTAGGCAGCGGACATGTGGCCTTCTGGAACCAACGGCGGTGGCTGAAGACTTCTGAGGCGGCTGGAAACCATTGAGGTGGCGGCACACGGGGTTAGGGTTAGAAAACCTTAACTGAAACCCTAAATGTTTTAGGGTTTCCATCTGGTTTGGGCTTGTAATATGGGCCTGATTATTGGGCTTCGGGTTTTGTAATATTAATAAATAATATATATATAATATAATTATAAAATAATAATAATAAAATAATATAAATAAAATTAAAATGAAAAAAAAATGAATATCTTCGGTAACTTCAATTTTTTTTCGAAAAAGACGCATGAATTACATTGTCTCTTTCCCATGATCACTCATTTTTCTTTTGTTCTGCATTTTCATACGTATTGTTTGGAAAAACTGAAAATACATTATAATTTATGTGTCTTCTACGATCGAACTGAAGACGTATTATATTCCATACGTCTTTTCTATTACACAGTAACATTCACCCTAATTAAAAAATAATTCTTGGAATACACTTATGCAAAGAATTTTCTTTTTCCAACACATTATCTCCAAGCATTTTTTGCCTTTAAAGAATAGGGCATGGTTGCGTAACCAACTAAACTACCCCAGTTAGTCATCCGGGGGAAAAAAAAATCCCCCGATTTTTTTTTTCTTCTTAATTAGTTTTAGAATAAATAAAATAAATTCTGGTTAAATGGCTACTCCACATGGAAGCTCTTCCCAACCAAGAAATGGCCTCCACTGCAGATTCTCCTCCTTCCTGGTTCACTCCCAAAAGGTATTTGTTCTTTTCCCCTTTTTTGTATTGCGAATGATTAAACTATTTTATCCGGAAATTATGCTTTTTTTCTGAATTTTAATTGCTTGCCCAAGCTTATTCTTACTAAAATTAGGGTTGATATAAGAAAAGTTAGGTGAAACTAGAATCCTTTTAGTTGACTATTTTTCACCAATATGCTAGTTCCTAAATATTCTTTTTCTTGTTGCAGGTTATTGATTATATTTTGTTTGATTAACATGATAAATTATGTAGATCGAGGAGCCATTGCCAGTAATGGTGTGAATGGGAGAAGTAGGACTTGCGATGACAAGGGAATTTGCAAATCCGGTACTGGAATTCAGTAAGATTTTATCCCAAACGATTCCTCTATTTTGCTGCGTGGATTCTGCTGTCATAAAGTGTTTTCTAGTGTGACTATCTTCACTTTTGTTACATGAAAATATTTGTTTGCAGGGGGGAATTTGAGTTGACTAACTTTCAGGATGGTCTCTTGTCGTCTGCATTCATGGTTGGGCTTCTCCTGGCATCCCCAATATTTGCTTCCTTAGCAAAGAGGTGAATTACTTTGATGGTTCTTTGCATTTGTACTTGGTGAACATCTAGGTTGTGTTTGGGAATTTTGATTTCAAAAACTAGTATTACCTGTGTGATATAACACATAAAAAAACAACATTTTTAATTATTTTTCAAATTCATGGATTTTGTTGAAAGCCTATTTGTGGTGAATTGAATTATTGAAATATATATCTATATACACGTTTGTAATTTTGAAATTCATGTTTTCATACTTTTTTAAATAAATAATCATATTGAATCTTAATTTTTTACACATAATTTAAGCATTTAATTATCATCATTTGGACAGCAAATCCAAATTTTCAAATTCATGTTTCCAAACATAGAGTCGAATTCTACTGCCATGTTAAATACTAAATAAAATCAGCATTAATTTTCAGAGTTCATCATTTCGTTGGAGTTATTGACTATATTTGACGGTTAACATGTCGATTTGGTTTTTAATGTCAGATGATTTCTATAATCGTATTGAATCTTAATTTTTTTACCCATAATTTAAGCATTTAATTATCATCATTTGTACAGCAAATCCAAATTTTCAAATTCATGTTTCCAAACATAGAGTCGAATTCTACTGCCGTGTTAAAAACTAAATAAAATCAGCATTAATTTTCGGAGTTCATCATTTCGTTGGAGTTATTGTACTATATTTGACAGTTAACATGTCGATTTGGTTTTTAATGTCAGTTGATTTCTATAATTGCAGCTACAACCCTTTTAGGCTTATCGGAGTTGGGTTATCTGTTTGGACCTTGGCTGTAGCTGGATGTGCTAGTGCATTTTCCTTTTGGTTTATTGCAATATGCTGAATGTAAGTGTAACAATCCCAATACCCTCTTCATTAGCTTCTTGTGCCACAATGTATGCATTTTCAAGAAAATAAAATAAAATAAAATGGAAATGTGTCTGGTTCTTGATGTTTTAGGCTTGTTGGTGTTGGAAAAGCTTCTTTCATAAGTCTTGCAGCTCCATTTATTGATGACAATGCTCCTGTTTCTCAGGTTCCTTTTTTTTTTCTTTTCAGCTTTAGAAAGCTACATATACTATCTTCCTTCCAAAACTACACGATCATGCTAACTTTCTGTCATACTCCAGAAAACAGCTTGGCTTGCAATGTTTTATATGTGCATACCTACTGGAATTGCTCTGGATCGTTTATGGTGGATTTGTAAGTTTGTAAATCTTGTTCTTTATTTCTCATAAATCTTAGTTTTGCACTATGTGATTTACTCCTAGTTCGAAGTACTACATGAGACCTCTGTATGTTTAGGCATGTTAAGGCCCTCTTTAAGCACATCCTCCACCACCTTTGACTCAACTCGACCATCCAACATGGGGAAATCTGAAAAATAATCGTTCGAACCCTCATAGCCACGTGCAGACAAACACCTATCCTTATAGGCATCCACTGCTTCTCTCTCCGCGTGCACCAGCTCTGTCTCGTGTTCCCCCACCTCCTCAATTTGCGAATGAATCGTCCCCTGACCCACAACAGCGCTCCTCAGACCCATCATCATTTCCTCTCCTATGTACCTGTCGTCCTCACCCTCACCCGACAAGAAGCAACCTCTAAACCCACTCCCCATACAACAGAAAGCATTTTCTTCTTCCTCAGAACACCACTCGGGACACTGCACCTCCGATGAGTTAACGTTTCTACCAACTTCTTCAACACACACCTCCAATTCGGGGAACTTAACTGGAGAGACACCAACGAGCTCCCCCACCTTGGATAACGGGGATGCGATTGCCTCTTCCAACGAAGATGACTCTACCCACTTAATAAAAATTCTGCACCAATCTACCAAGCTGTTTTTGAGAGTTGAAAGCTTACTCTCGTCAACAGAACCAACAAAGGGAGCCTTCGTATGACTAACCTCCTTCACCACACTCTTGCCCTCGACTGGATATGGACCAGAGAACTTCTTCCTCCAGAAAACATCACAAGGATGATATCTCGCCATGAAAACTCTAACTTTGTTACTTTGAATCCAAGAACTATCAACACACTTGATAGCCTTCCTCGCATCCTCTAGTCTAGTGAAACGAACAAATCCAAACCTATTTCCTCCCTTGCTTCTTTTATTAGGGATGAAAGAATCAACCACCTCACCATATTTATCAAAAAATAACCAAAGACCTTGGTAATGAAAACTCTCAGGAATGTTGAAAATGACTACTGTGACAATTTTTCCTAACAGGAACTCTCACCTTACTCGCCATCAAGAGAAATGAAAAGGAATAAAACAGAAAAACTTATCTAAAACACCTGATTTTTAGAGAGAATGAGGAACTCTTCACATTTGACCAAATCTTTAAACCAGCATAGAACGTGTAATCATGTTATGAATGTGGTGAACTGGTGATTACTAGGGATTTTCATGGGATGGGCTGGTTCAACTTCTTGCTACCAGAAATCAAGCAGGATCAAGTTGATTTTAATTATAATTGAGATAAAACTGTTGGTTTAACAATCCAAACAAAATTCAACTAAAACTTTTAGTTTATCGGTTCCGCAGAACACTAATAAGAAAAGAAATACCATCCAAAATCAATTTTCATAAGTTTTCTTTCTAAAAAATAAAAATAAAAATAACGGAAAGGTTCATACGTTTCTTCTAAAGAGCTGGCCTGCTAACCATTAAAATGCTCTACTTTTTCTTTTTTACATTTCTAGTCTGTTTTAGATGTAGATTCAGAGGCATCAAAACTAGATGATCTAATGTTGGGTGCAGGTGAGAGTATCATGCTGATGAATTGAGTAAAACTTCCAAGTAAGTGGTTCTTCAACTGTTATGGAATAAAAGAAATAGATTGAGGTTTGAGAAAAGAATGAGAGAATTGAGAGAAAGAAACGGTCATTCATTCATTGCATAAGGAATTGTTTTACAATAAGAGCTGGTATTATTTAGTTACAATAGCCATATAATTCATGCCAGCTGTCCAAGCTTCATAACAACTTAACTAACAGAATTATTCTTCTCTTTCTTTTCTTCTTCAGGTATTGGGCCTTCGGTCTTGGGCTGCTCCAGCATACAATAACCTCGCCTGGCCTGCTCCTCAGCTGTGGTAAGTTTTCCTGTGCCTACCACGTGATTTAATTCCCAATCTCCATCTTCAATACCTAACCCTCGATCCTCATTTCCCAATTGTTCCTCAATGCTTCCTCGCCTCTCCTCTTCGATACTTTCTCGTCCTTCTTCTTCTCCAACCATAACAATACCCACCCCTCGAGACGAGCCTTGTCCCCAAGGATCGAACGCAGGAAACTGGCCCTTGAGAGTCGAATAATCCTCCCAAGTGTCATTTCTTCAGCAAGATTCTCCCAGCGAACCAAAAGTTGATTTTCTAGAATTTGAGAGTCGAATAATCCTCATAGGTTTGTCGTTCCTATTTAAGATTCTTCGAGCCATAATCTGTAAAGGTTTGATTTGTAACATTCCGTCTTCATCCACTGTAGGAAGTTTGGTGGCAGCAGTCGTTGATTTTCCGATGAACTTTTTCAAAAGGCTGACATGGAAAACTGGATGTAATCGAGAGACTCTGGTAAGTCCAAGCGATAGGCTACTGTTCCAATCTTTTCTAGAATTCGATAAGGCCCGAAATATTTCGCTGCTAACTTCAAGTTTTTTCTCAGGGCAATGAATGTCTGCCTGTAGGGTTGTAATTTCAGGTAAACCATATCCCTAATCTCAAAAACCCTTTCAGTTCTATTCTTATCCTGTTGTTGCTTCATTCGATTACTTGCCATCTGTAGTTGAGTCTTAAGCAACTGTCTAGTAGCCTCTCTATTATTCATAATTTCTGCAACTTTTTGTACTGTAGACTCAGTAGGCCAAACCATAATAGGTGGTTTGTAACCATATAAAGCTTGAAAGGGTGTTAACTTTAGGGCAGTATGATAAGTGGTATTGTACCACCATTCAGCACGTGGTAACCACTTAGCCCACTGCTTAGGTTGATAGAAACAAAGCCCTCTCAAATACTGCTCCAAACACTGGTTAACTCTCTCTGTTTGTCCATCTGTTTTTGGATGGTAAGCAGTGCTGAACAGTGTCTTAGTTCCCAACTGTTTCATGAATTCCTTCCAAAAAATACTAGTGAAGGTCTTATCTCTTTCAGAAATGGCCATTTTAGGCTGGCCATGTAGCTTGTACACATTATCTAAATAGATCTTAGTCCACCTCTGCTGCAGAATAGGGGCGAGCTAAAGGTAGAAAATTACTGTACTTGGTAAATTTATCCACAATTACCAAAATACAGTTTTTCTTAAGTGAAGTAGGCAACCCTTCAATAAAATCCATAGTAATGATTTCCCAAGCCTGGTTAGGGATAGGCATTGGCTGTAGTAATCCAGGCTTTGCTAAATGTTCCACTTTTGTTTGCTGGCAAATCTTACAACATCTAACATAAGCAGCAACCATAGCTTTAAGATTTGGCTAATAAAAATTGGACCTAATCCTATAATATGTGGCCTGAGCACCTGAATGTCCCCCTGAGGAGAATCATGTAAAGACTGTATAATCTGCACTCTAAGGCATCCTGTAGCTCCAACATAAACCCTCCCATCATATCTAAGAATAGCTCCAGAATACTTCCATTTACTGTCGGCCACAGGGCTAATAGTCAAAACTGAAATCCAATTCTGTGCTAAAGAATCACCCTTATAACTTTCTTCAATCTCCTGAACCCAACTAGGTATTAAAACTGTCACTCCCATAGCTAAACAGTGAGCTTCATCCTCCCATCTTCTAGATAAGGCATCAGCAACCACATTGGATTTCCCCTTTCTATACTGAATAGTATAGTCTAATCCCAACAACTTTGTCAACCCTTTTTTCTGAATAGTAGTAGTCAGCTTTTGTTCCAAAAGAAACTTCAATGGCTCATGGTCAGTCTTAATAACAAAAGGTGCACTCTCCAAATAATGCCTCCATTTAGAAACAACCAAGAGAATAACAAGATATTCTCTTTCATAAATAGATAAAGCTGAATGTCTAGGGCTTAGAGCTTTACTCAAATAAGCAATAGGTCTTCCATCTTGGGAAAGAACAGCCCCTATACCTCCAGAACTAGCATCTGTTTCCAGATAAAATGTCTTAGAAAAATCTGGTAATGCTAAAACTGGAGCAGAACACATAGCTTTCTTAAGGCATTCAAAGGCAGTGTAAGCAGCGGAATTCCAATGAAATCCATCCTTTTTTAACATCTCTGTTAATGGTCTACCAAGAATACCATAATTTCTAATAAATCTTCTGTAGTAACCTGTTAGACCTAGAAACCCTCTGAGAGATTTAAGGGTTTTAGGTTGAGGTCAAGTCTGCATAACTTCCGCCTTGCTAGGATCAGTAGACACCCCTCCAGCAAAAATAATATGACCAAGATACTCCACCTTAGTCTGTCCAAAAAAACATTTGGACCATTTTGCAAATAATTGATTCACCTTCAAAACTTCCAAAACAAGCTGTAAATGTTTAACATGCTGCTGCATACTGTTGCTATACACCAGAATATCATCAAAGAAAACTAAAACAAATTTTCTAAGAAAAGAACTAAATAATTCATTCATAAGAGCTTGAAATGTAGCAGGTGCATTAGTAAGACCAAAAGGCATTACCTTAAACTCATAATTCCTTGATGAGTTCTAAAGGATGTCTTATAGATATCATCAGCTTTAATTCTAATCTTCCAATAACCTGACCTCAAATCAATCTTTGAAAAATAAACTGCCCCATGTAACTCATCAAATAAGTCCTCCACTATAGGAATAGGAAATTTATCTTTGATGGTCAGACTGTTTAGTTGTCTATAGTCCACACAAAATCTCCAAGTGCCATCCTTCTTTTTAATAAAAAGGCAGGGAGAGGCAAAATGACTCTTGCTAGGTTGAATAATAGAAGTAGAAAGCATAGTAGTTATCTGTTTTTCAACTTCAGCTTTCTGATTGTGAGGAAATCGATAAGGCCTTAGATTAACTGGTGTAGCATTGGGTATTAGAGGAATTGCATGGTCATGTGTCCTATGTGGGGGTAGTCCTTCAAGTTCAGCAAAAACTTTGCTGTATTTATCCAAGATAGGCTGCAGCTCAATAGGAACAGAAGAATTCCCTTACATAGTCAATAGGACAATATGGCCCATAATATCAGAATCCCTTGCACTCATTTTAAGTAATGTAGCTCCTGATTTTTGATGTAATTCAGTTGAGGACTGTTGACCTTGAATACAAATCTGTTCCCCTCCATGGTCAAAGCTTAAGGTCATATTATTGAAATCCATCAAAATTGGACTGAATAATTTCATCGAATCAACTCACAAAACCATGTCACTTCCTCCCAATTTAAGCAACCTAAAATCATGTAAGAAAGTATGTCCCTGCATTTCCCATTGTACCTTGTTGCATCTAGCAGAATTGAACAACTGTTGGCCATTAGCCACACTAATGGCCAAAGGATAAGCAGTATTTACCTGTATGCCAGCATCAGCCCATTAAGGAGTAAAGAAACTGTGTGTACTGCCACTGTCAATTAGGATACTCAATGGTTTTCCCTGAATACTGCCCTGAATTCTTAATGTATTATGGCCAACATAGTTGTAAAAAGAGCGCCTGAGGCACAAAAGCGCAGAGGCTCACTGAACGGGGCTTTTTCAACGCTAAAGCGAGGCACGTGGCTTAGGTGCACCTAGTCGCAGCGAGGCACTAAGGCTCGAGGCACAATTGAGGCGCGATGAGCTGAAAACCTTGTAATTATTATTGCATGGCTTCTCTCCTATGGGCCGACCCCCTAAAACCCTCAATCGACTAAAGATGATGAAATGGAAGCATTGTATTGCCTTCTTTGAAAGGGATCAGGATTGGAACTCGAGAAAGGATCAGTCAAAACGACACTGTTTTTCGGGTCTCCAGTTGCACTGAGCATGAAATTCAGTGGGAAAGTGAGAAACAGAAGAGCGAAAGCTTACCTGGTTTAACGAAAGAATCTCCGGTCAGAGACTGAGAGAGAGAGAGAGAGAGAGAATGTTGCAATCGAATTTTGGTGGTGGAAGAGATGGAAACAGAGAGCAAAGAAAAAGGCTGAAGAAGCGAAGTGAAAGTGAAGTGAAAGAAGACAATCATATTAATAATGATATTTATAGACATGTGTATATTTATCAACAATTTACACAAAGTTTGACAAAAGATAAAATCCATAACTATTATTTTACTCAGCATAATTTGTTTTATTGTGATTTCTTAATTTTTCACATTACCAAAATATTATTAACATGTAAATGCAATCTTTTTGTTTTATTAATATATTAATAATATGATAATTTTTTATTAATTTAAAATTTTTAACTTATAATTATTTAACATATTAATCGCGAATTAATATGTAAATTGAAATAATTTCAAACAAACCTTGGAAAGGCTGATACAATATAATATGATATTTTATTAAGGCAATACAATGCTGTCATTATCTTGAGTTGAAGCTCGAAAGGAAAAGAAAAAGCTAGACTACACCTTGTAGATGAAGATGATGAAGTTGTTATGCTAGAGGAGAGTGACACTGAAGAAGAAGACATTGGGGATTGTGAGACGGATGAGGAGGAAGATGATGACATACCAGTTGACGATGATGATGAGGATGAGTTTGATGTTTGATGATGATTATCAGTGACTTTATTTGATGTTTTGTTTATGCATGTTGAATGTTTTTGTTAAACTTAGTACTTGATTATGCTTGTTGATAGCTTTTATGACGTTAGGTTGGTATTTTGAGTTTGAGAATGAACTCTATTGAAGCTTAATATTGGGTATCTATGATATTTGAGTTTGATTGCATTAATATATACATGTATTACAATTTTTTTGATATCATGTGCCTCGCCTTCGTGAATCTTGCGCCTTTCAAGCGCCTCGCGCCTCAAGGCTCCAGGACACTTTGCGCCTCGATGCGCCTTAAGCCTTTGATAACTTTGATGGCCAATGCAGCTAGTAATAGCATTCATAGAAATTTCCAGATTCTCCTCTTCTTCTTGTTGAAACTGCTCTGCATCAGTAAGACAAACTTCTACTGGAGAAGTGTCAACTTCTTCTGTAATCATATTTAACTGCCTGGTCTTGCACTGATGACATGGAATATATTTTTCACCACATTTAAAACAGACTGTTTTGCCTTCTATAATCCATAAGATTATGTTTTGGATTTGATATAGAAGTAGATTTTGTAGTTACTAGCAATGCAGTTGTCTTAGATGTAGTTATGGGGCTTGGGTAGGGTGGGACCTTAAAAGAAGGCCTGAATCTTCCATTTTCAAATTCTACTGACAGTTCATAAAGCTTGGCTTGTTTACATGCTTCAGATAAGTTCTTAGGGTCCAAGGCCTTAACCCTATGCTTAATATCATCTCTGAGTCCACTAATAAAAAGTGACAAAAAATTCTTCAGTCAAAGTAGGATTCTGTAAGAGCATATAAGGTTGTAACTCCTCAAACTTCTCCTGATACTCCTCTACAGACCCCTTCTGTGTCAATTTAGTAAACTCCTCTACAATATTAGAAAATGATCTGTCACTAAATCTGTGACAGATATCAGATTCAAATTCATGCCATGTTACATGGTGTTTCTGCATTATATAACCATCAAACCATATTTCTGCTTTGCCTGTTAAATACATAGTGGCTATCTCCACTCTTTGATCCATAGACACACTACAAATAGAAAAATATTTCAAGCATTTCTGAATCCACCCTTTAGGATTAACCCCTTCAAAGAAAGGAAGATCTATTTTGGGTATGTGCCACATATTTCCTGAACTGCTAAATGAACCCCCTGGTCCTCTATTTTCAATTTCTAGACCCAGCATAATAGGTTTAGTTTGACTGACTGTTTTCACCCATTTGATTCTTAGGCCTAGAACTGTTTTTAAGGGCTAAACAAGCATCAGGCTTATCCTTCAAAATTCCAGGTTCATCAGTTTTATAAGAGAATCTTGTTTTATCCTTAACTACAGTCACCAAAACAGGATTTTTCTCCCCATTTTTAGAGCTATTAGGAGTGTATACCTGATCCCCTGCAGACTGCTCTTCTTCACCATTTCTGCCAGTTAAGATCTTCAGTATATCTTCCACATAGCTGTGATTCGTGGCCATCCTTGTCTTCAATGCCGTAATCCTGTTTTCCTGAGTCTCCCACCATTTAGGTGGATTAGTCTCATTTTAACCTTGTTTCACCAAAGCAGCAAGGTCTTCAATCTGTTTCTGAATCCCAGTTAAATCCGTTTCTGCCATAGATTGGTTCTTTGGCATGCCCTCAAAAAAAAATTTTTTTTGCCAGAATCGTAGCTCTGATTACCAATTTGTTATGGAATAAAAGAAATAGATTGAGGTTTGAGAAAAGAATGAGAGAATTGAGAGAAAGAAACAATCATTCATTCATTGCATAAGGAAATTTTTTACAATCAGAGCTGGTATTATTTAGTTATAATAGCCATATAATTCATGCCAACTGTCCAAGCTTCATAACAGCTTAACTAACAGAATTATTCTTCTCTTTCTTTTCTTCTTCAGGTACTGGGCCTTCGGTCTTGGGCTGCTCCAGCATACAATAACCTCGCCTGGCCTGCTCCTCAGCTGTGGTAAGTTTCCCCGTGCCTACCACGTGATTTAATTCCCAATCTCCATCTTCAATCCCTAACCCTCGATCCTCATTTCCCAATTGTTCCTCAATGCTTCCTCGCCTCTCCTCTTCGATACTTTCTCGTCCTTCTTCTTCTCCAACCATAACATCAACCCGTGTATTATATTAAATCTTTCATTAGTTTATTTGTGTCAATGAGTGCCTGAGTGGTTCTTCAACCCATCATGGTTAAACTGCTTCAAAGCATTATTTACGTTTTTGCAATAAGAAATTTTATCTAAGAAATGGGAGAAAGTCATCATGGGAGAAAAGGATTAATAATACATAAAAGATTAGGATTCTAATTGTAGTAAGAATGTTGGACACATTAGGCTTGCCACCTTGCACCGTTGTTTTTCCTTTCAGCCTTCTTATCAATAGGCCCCTAGTCAGAAGGTTAATGAATGCTATGACTTGGGAGTTGGGAGCTTATGGTGAGTTGGGCACATGAAAAGCGCGTGAAACATGGAGAAGGTAAAATATAAATTGGTTATAACAGTCTTGTGATGGAGGAGTCCTTAATCTGTGATATCTTGGCACCTAGCATCGGGGAATAGACTGATGTCTGATGTAATTTTCAAAGTGGGTCATGTATCTTTGGAACAATTGTATCTAGTCCTGTTTTTCTGACGTTAAAAGTAAATCTATTGTAGGATTTAACTTTATGGATGCTTAAAATATATTGTTGTGTACTTTGATAGTCAGTATTCATTCAATAACCTGATTGTTCCTCTTTTCTTTGACAGGTCAGTAAGCATACACAACATTTTGAATCAGATTTCTCGGTTTGCAAAAGACATGAAAGTGCTTTTGGTGGAAAAAGTTTATGTTGTAAATGTTTTGGGTATTTTCTTGACCCTTTCACATCAACTGGACTAATGCCTTGATTTTTTTTTTAAATTAATGCCATCAGTTTTTCAATTTTTGCAACAACTTTTCATATTAAAGTTTTCTCCCGGACACCTCTAAGACAATTCTAAGAAACTGTGGTTGTTTCTTTTCTCATTAAGTTGCTGCTGCGAAAGCTTGTATTTATTACATATGGTATTACTTCGGTTTGTGAAATATCATGTTACCTACATTTTGTTTGTCAGGTTACGTGGCATACAATTTTGTTATTGGAGCATATTCATATTGGGGGCCAAAGGCTGGTTATAACATTTATCATATGGTACAGTTTCCTCCAACTTACATGCATTCTTTTATTTCAATGTCTTCTTTTTGGCATTTTCTTTTGGTATCACAAAGAATCACATTGCCCTTCCTTTTAGCGCTATACTCATTTAAATTGTGCTTTTGCAGAAGAGTGCAGATATGTTGTTTGGAGGGATTACAATTGTTTGTGGGATTATAGGAACAATATCAGGTGGCTTCATCCTAGATCGCATGAGTGCTACAATATCTAATGCCTTTATTGTGAGTTTGTTTTGCTCTGTTGATGTTTTGTGTGAATGTTATCCTTTCTTTTACAAGTATGTGCGTGTGTGTGTGAAAATAAGTTGATTTAAAGTGTAGATGGTTTTCATAGAAATTGCACTTTAGGTGGTATTCTTTCTTATTTTGCCTAATAAAGCCTCTTATGTAATAAAACAAAAGATAAATATAGGATTCTGTCAATTGAAATTGTCCTCCACTATTACTTCTCTAAATCAAAACAGATGAATAAAATGTTCACACACAATGCAAGGTGCAAGGTGTAGAAAAATAACAAGTTAACCGGCAAACAGCAACCCAGAAAGATGTTTGTGATTTTCATAAATTTGGGAAGTTCTATCCTACTTCCTGATGAAACTAACTAGCAGCTGTAAATTATAGTCTGAAACTATCTCCTTTTTATTTTTATTTTTTGCATTATTATGGCTTGCTTTGCTTCTATAACAGCTTCTTTCAGGGGCAACATTTCTGGGCGCAATATTTTGCTTCTCTGCTTTCTGTCTAAGGAGCCTGTACGGTTTTATAGTTCTTTTTGCTGTGGGTGAATTACTTGTTTTTGCAACTCAGGTAATATAAAGATGGGTGACCTGGATTTTTTTTCATTTTGGCCTTTGACTGTCCTATATTTATGATACTTCTGCAGGTGTAAGGAGTCTCCCTCTCTTCCGTTTCCAATTAGGTTCAACTGGTAGAAGATTTTAAGAAAAATTTAGTCAGAAACTATTCCAGGAGTCTTACCCATGCTTGTTTTAGAGCACCTATAGCTTATTAGTTTATAGAAATTTGAACCACCTCATCATATTTCCCCTTTGATAATAGAAAGTGCTTTTCTGGTACATACGGAACAATATTTATTATTTTGGACTATCATGAAATATTTTAGCAGTTTTGCTTATCCACTCGTGTCACTTTCTCAGTGAATATTGATTTTGCAGGCTCCTGTCAATTATGTATGTCTCCATTGTGTAAAACCGAGTTTGAGACCATTATCTATGGCTATCTCTACTGTCTCAATTCACATATTTGGTGATGTTCCTTCCTCGCCACTTGTTGGGGTTCTCCAGGTGAGTCCATTTACGCTGGAGCTTGCATGCGCACAGGTTTAGTGTGGTAAATTGATGAGGCAGGAATCTGAATATACATGTATTTCTTTCAAATCGGGATTTATGAATTATTATATGTCTACGCAACTTCAACCTATCTATCTTCACCGTGGACTCAAATTTTTATTGGATCATCGGCGGTTATGTTTTGGACAGGATCATATCAATAATTGGAGGGACACTGCACTTATTTTGACCTCTATTCTCTTTCTTGCTGCTGGGATATGGTTTATAGGTGAGTAATAATAAGTTCTTGATAATGTTTTCCAAGTAGAGAGATACTACATTCAAGGCAAATGCCAAGATTTGAACTCACACAAAGTGGGATAACAAGAAAATCCTTTACCACTCGATCAATTAATGGATCTATGTATATCAGTTATATTATGGAAGGTTTTATAATTGTTGTTTCTCTCACAGGTGTTTTCCTACTTAGCGTGGACAAGTCCAATGACGGAAGTGAACAAGTTTCTACAGCCAATTCAAAGCCATTGCTTGAGGGGAACGTGGATGAAAGTTTTTTGTGAAGTAGTCGGGAGCAGCATGCTATTAAAAACTTTGCACATCCCCAGTGTAAATAAAATTATAGCTTTATTTCAATTGTATAAGTTTCCAAAGTTATTCTGTTAGCTTTTGAGGCAGTGTTTGAACTAAGTGGACGTGGAACACTTACTTTCACAAGAAGTTTGATCATAAGAATAGCAAGAATGATAAAATTTCAATTAAGAAAATGGAATGTGTTTTTGATGTGAATGTAAAATTTATTGGTCTTGTACATGTACGTCAAAACACCTTGTGAATTTTTATCAACAACATTTAAATGATAAAAGGAAGAAAATATAAATAATTTTTGTTTGTCAAAATAACAAAGATAATTATAGTATTATTGTTCCAACAAACTTGTAATTTGAACATGTAAAGGTGTAAAATCATATGATATAAATGAGTTTTTGGGAGAGAAAAATAAAAAGAGAAAAATTGTGATATAAACCATGGCAAAGACATCTCGACACCGGAGCGGAGGCTCTCAACTCTTTGAATCTATTTTAGAACATAATTTTTTTTTTATCTAAGGAGGGAGACATTTCAACATTGTTCGGCCAGGTAGAGGAGGCTACTCAGTCTATCGTAGGGCATTATGGTGGGAGCAGATGCATCTCTGCACGCACCATACGCCATAAGTAGAAATAAGGCATATTTTCCAAAATTTGGCAAATGTATCTCAACACCGTATCAGAGAAAACTTGTCCCCTCGAGTCATTTCATGGTTGTAAGCTGGGGTAAATGTAACTCAACATCTTACGAAGACAATTCACTGTCAATAGGTACGAAGGTGACTCAATGTTTCTATAGTTTATGGATGAAGACTTCTCTCGCATTCAAAAACATCTCGTTTCTTTTGGTGAGTGGAGGCATCTCTACACTCAGAGCGAATGTGGCTCAACACTCTTTTAACTGTAGATTAGGAGCTTCCCTACTATCGTAGCACGTTGGAGGCATTTTTGTTACGACAACATAACAGAGGATACCAGAAGTATAACTAGATATTTGGTGTTATTCCATAAACTCCCAAATCCTTGCCTGCATTAGTTTAGGTACTACATGCTTCCCTAAAGAGGATAGGGTTTTGGATTACCTGGGCCAGGATTAGTCAATGATTCCTCTAGCATGCCTTTCTTGTTGCTCCCCAAGGCGGGCCTCAGTTTGGTATCTGTCCCTTCGCACGGTTGACCCAACATGTTGCTCCTTATCGTTTCTTCTACTATGTCCTTCGTATGCACTAGTATGTATCGTGCCCCTTCTGTTTATGGTATTAGCATAACTTAGTGTTATCGAGAATTCGATTGCATAGGTGGTGGGAGCTTCAAGATACCTGAGTCCCCTACCTTACAGAGAATTTCTAATAAGGAAATGTCATGGGGTGTGTAATCTATATATCCCCTAAATGGTCCTCTCCCTCATTGGTTAGTAATGTTGACTTGTCGACAGTAGTTCATTATGCTCATATGCTCTCCTTTGCTACCTGAGGAAGAACTTCCTAACCCATGGTTCACCCTCAAAGAATAATGAATGGTGTGAGACTAGAGAGGATGACGCCTCCTGATTCAATGACTTTGAGGTGCATCCCTAGGTGGTCGAGCTTTGGCCTGAACTTACTACCGACCCAATTTCCTCTACCTCGGTGTATATACTGGCCACTTTATATAGCTACCTGATTCTGGTTGGCATGTTGCCCATCAAGGCGTACCTCAAGGGGTCATGTTAAAGGCCGCTGACGTATGCTGAGATCGTCCAATCGTTTTATATGTCACGAATATTATGGGTGACATTTGTGAATTTCTTTGTGTAGTCGCGTATGAGCTTGCCTTGCCTGTAGACTACACTAAGGAGGCTGGCTGACGAGTTATAGATCATTCAATTGGCCAAAATTTGGCCAATGAATAGATGCCACAACTATTTGAAGTCTGCCATGGTTTCTGAGGGTAGAGAGTTTTACCAGTTTTTCGCTCTCCAGTGAAGAGTACTTGTGAAAACCTTGCATTCTAGTTAGTCGGATGCTCATACAAATTCCATGCAATCTCTATATTGAGATAGGTGGTCAGTGGGATCTCCGGTTCCATCGTAGTTTTTGGACAATTTGAAGTGTGAAGGATAAGAAGTGTTAGTATGTGAGGCATTTAAGGGCTACGTTCCTCCATGAACCATTTGGTTCTAAAATTGTTTGAGGTCTTGAGATCGTTGATATGTTTTCAAATGATTTTCATATGGTTTTCCATTCTTCTCAACTATGATTGGTAGGCAAGGGTAAATAATCATTGTCCTCCCTATAAGGGATTGTCCCGATTGGCGACGTCTCTCACTATTGGAGGCTCTCTCTTCTTCTTTTCCTCATCTTCTGGTTTCCTAGCATTAGCAGATCAACAAAATCTGAAGAGTCCTTTGAACAACTTTTGTTGTTGTTGGTTCTGTTATTATAGTTGTACGCGGGCCACTTGGGAAGCTTGAAATTGTGCAGGCAAGTTTCGCAGTTCATTTTGGAGGCTTTTGAATATGTTGTCTTTCTGAGCAACGAGGTTGTTTGTATTACGAATAGTGTTAGTCGATATATTGGCTAGTTTGACCGTACGTACCGTATCAAGCTTGAAGATATCCGTAATATGAAGGGTAATAGTGTATACACTCATTTTCGTCCGAATTTTTTTTATTTTATATATATATATATATATTATAATTTATGATTTTTTTTTTAAAATATAATATATAATTTTTTTTAGAAAACGGTTTTTGAAAACATATAATATACTATTTAAAAAATCTATTTTTAAGAATATATATATTATATAGCTTTGAAAATGATTTTTGAATATATATATATATATATATATATATATTATATAGTTTGCAAATGAATTTTGAAAAAATATATATAATATATAGGTTTTGAAAACATTTTGAAAATATATATAATATATAGTTTTTGAAAACATTTTGAAAAAATATATATAATATATAGTTTTTGAAAACATTTTAAAAAATTATATAATATATAGTTTTGAAATCATTTTGAAAACTTATATAATATATAGTTTTAAAACATTTTTGAAAACATATATAATATATAGTTTTAAAACATTTTTGAAAACTATATAATGTATAGTTTTGAAAACATTTTTAAAAAATATATAGTATTAAAATATTTTTGAAAATATATATATTATATAGTTTTTGGAAATATTATATATATATATATATATATTATTATTATTATTATTATTATTATTTGTTTTTATTATTATTTTATTAACATTTTTTTTATTTTTAGGTCCAATAAGGGTCCAAGACAAGGCATGCCTAACCCAGCAGGCTAAGGACGGGTAAAAGCCCAACAACCCGAACCCAACTGCCTGACCCGGCAGTGGCTAGGGTTACATCCTTAGCAGAGGCGCCGCATGTGAAGGGCTCGAGGGGCGTGTGAGGACCATGCGCCAGTCAAAGCAAACAAAATGGTCGGCCAAGATCTCCATGACTGAATTATTCTGGAGTGTTCGGTCAACCAACAACCCACAACTCCGAGATCATCGAGACCCAAACGACCCCTTCGAAGGCTATAAAAGGGAGCCTCGTCGGAAGATAAGAACCAAGGAATCAACATCGAACGATCGGAGAGCAACCTATACACGAAACAACGATCCAACAACAACATCAAACCAAAAACAACCACAATAGTCAACACCAAAACACTGAAAAAAATAACAAATTAAATAAAGCAAGTAAATATATCAAAAGTGAAGGAGCACAGAGAAGCGTCGTTGGGGCAAAGATCGCCGGTCGCCGAGAAAAATGAAAAAGGGTAAAAAAATCGAAACCTTTTTCTAAATCTACGTCGGCGGGGATATTTTTGGGTGTTTGGGCTTCGGTTTTGGGTTTGGGACGTTGAGAGGAAGCTTTGGGGGAATTTTGGTTTTTTTTTTGCCGTCGGCGGTGGTTATCGTTGTCGGAGCGCGGCGGCCAACAATGGTCGGCTATTCCTCCGACGAGGAAATTCTAGAGAGAGAGAGTGAAAACGAACAAATGAGATATTTTAGGCCTTTAGAGCCGAATTTCGGGTATTTATACCCTTCTTAAAACTACATCATTTTGGGGAGGGATCTCTACGTAATTTCGAGAATGGGTAAATTACACCCTCAGTCCCTGTACTTTTATACATTTTCATTTTAGTCATTGAAGTTAAGTTTCAGTATTTTTAATTTGGATTTTCAATTTTATTATGATTATATTTTAGTCACTATTTGGTATTTAGGATTAATTATTGTTTAGTCCTCATAACCTCTTATTTTTTTTGCAGATAATTTTTTAGCATCCATTTGATCCATAAATTTTGATTTATTTCAATCTGATCCTTTAAACTTTTTTTTTTCTATTTACTCGTAATTTTAATATGTTTTCTTTATTATTATTATTATTTATTATTCTGATTTTTTCAATATTTTTGTTATTTTTGTTATTTTTATTTTCTTATTTTTTTTCTTTTTCCTTTCATTTATTTAACATTAATTTCTTCTTATCTAACATTTTTTGACTTTTTAGGGATACTTTCAATCAATCAGAGGTAATTAATTCGAATTGAATTTCTAAATTTTAATTTTAATTTATTTTTCGCGATTTAAAACAACCGAAAAATTAATTGACACCGAAATGGCAGTTTAAGGGTGCTAATTCTTCCTTAACTGTAACCGACTCCCGAATCTGACATATTTCTGGTAAAACACATATCAGGTAAAATGGTGTCCGATCAACCTAAAATTTGTTTTTAAAATGATCGGTGGCGGCTCTACGTGTTTTATTTCAAGTCGAAGCCCAATTCAGGGACTATCCGAAAGACGACTACGATAGCTTGGCGACTCTGCTAGGGACAGGTAAGTGAGTTAGGCCGAAATTAATTTCCGATTGTCTTTTTGAGCGAAAATTATAAGTTTAAATTTTAATTTATTTATTCAATTCTTATTATTTATCGTTGATTATTTTTCAAGCAAATAGTTGTACTGACATTTTTTCAATGATTTCAGATTTTTTGAAAAAGTTTTCATCTAAGGCTCTATACCCGAGCTCCAAACCCTTTTTAAGTGGGGGTGAAAGCGACGCCTTCGCGAGAATTTATTCTCAGCATAGGCCTAACAAGTAACCTTCGGGATTCATATACCTTATGTCTTCGTGTGAATTTATTCTCTGCATAGACATAAGGGAATGTATCCTCTCGAGTTTAACTTTGTCCACAC